AAGAGTCCAGCCATTGAATTTCATTAATTTTTAGGGATCGAGCCCCACATCGGGCTCCCTGCTCCGCGGGAAGCCTGCTTCTCCCTCTCCCTCTGCCCCTGCTTGTGTTCCCTCTCTCGCTGTGTCTCTTTGTCAAATAAATAAATAAAATCTTTAAAAAAAAAAATCAAAAAGCAATCCTAATAAATATAAATGCAAAAGTCCTAACAATATTAGGATATTTCAGTAAGAGTGAGTAAGGGACAGGCGGGGCTAGGTAGGGAGAGACAGGTATGGGGCTATGGGATCAGGCTCACAGAAATCCCAAAAACGCTGAGGTGTAAGGAAACCAGAGATAAGGGAACAAACCAGACCACCCTGCCCTAGGCGTGTGGGGGGAGTGTCTTTTTTATAATAGTCACCTGTGACCAACAAAGAATAACCAGATCCTAACAAAGAAGCCATTAAAAATGTTATCGCTAGTCCCTTACTCAAGCCAAGACATCACAAGAATGATAAGGCCACAAGCTGCCTGGTCAGTTCTAAAAAAAAGACTCAGTGGAGGCCCTCGTTGGCAACCCTGTCGGGACCCCTCTCACTCCTAAAAGCTTTTTTCCTGTATCCTTGCTTAATAAACTTCTATCGCTTTACTCACTCTCCTTTGTCCGCGAGATTCATTCATTCTCCGATTCCGTGAGACAAAGAGAAACCTAGCTTTCCCGCTTCAAGTGGACTGAACTTTTGAGGATCCTGTGTTTGAACTGTTTCTCTTTTCCCCTCCCCCATGACGCAGCAGCCTTGCGGTCAGAGCGCACTGATGTCTTGAGTGATTAAACCAACCTAGGTAATTCCATCCCCGTCACAGCGACTTGTTCAAGTAGCCCAAGGCAATCAGCAAATACGGTATTATTCCCGGCCAGAGGTGATCTAACCAGCAAGGGGTTCAGTCCTTTTGCCAAGAATCGGAGAGGCCGATTGTTAAACACCACCCCAAATTAGGTCGCCCACCTTGGTCCCTTTGCCTTTTGAGGCATTACTTTTTCTGGATTATGTTGTTATTCGTCGTTTCTCCTTGGTTCATCCTAGTGCAAACAGCGAAGACTAACAGGTGTTTGAGGAGAGCAGGAAAGAAGACACGCTCTGGGCGGAGCCGGGAGGCGGGGTGTGGATGGAGCCCAGGCCCCGCCCCCTCCTGCGCGCGGCTCTGCCCCGCCCCGCGCCGTGTCGCCGCTCTCGGTCCAGAGACCTCCGCTGGGGCCGCGCCACCGATGGTGCTACCTGGGAGAGCAATGGCCAGTAAGTAGCGCGGCGGCCCGAACTCAGGCATAGGGCCGGGAGGCCTAGGTTGCGGAGCCGGCAGCGGGTCTCCCCGGCTCAGCCCCTCGCCTCCGCTCCGTGTCCCCGCCGCGCCCCAGGCCTTCCCCTGCCCGCCGTTCGCGGGACTGGGGCCTCGGGCGTCTTGGCGGCGGAGCGCGGCCCTGCGCGCTCCCGGGGATTCCAGGCTTCCGGGAGGGCCGGCGCGGCCGCGGGAGCGCGGGGCCTCCCGGCCAGAAGGGCCCGCGCCTTGCTCCTCGCTGGGCTCCTGCGTCCCACCCGGTGCTTCTAGGTGCATTCCGGGGCCGCCCCCTGCAAGTTCACCTGCGCGGGAAGAGGCAGGTAGACGGGTGATCACTTAAAATCCAAGTTCCGCACCCCCTTTTTCCCTGCCCCAACTCGAAGACTGCACTTCCAGTAAAGCCTTTCAGTGATTATGATACTTCTGCTAGTGTGGGAACCTCTGTCTTGTGGGATTCTTGGAGGCTCTTAGGTTTTGCATTAGCGCTACTATCCAGTGGGGTCGCTTTCACTCTCTTCACAGATTGATTTTTGGACTTGGGTTTTGCAGAGGCATCAACCCTAATTATTTGTGGTTGGAACCCTGTCACGTGAAAATGAAGCATCTGTTTTCTTTCATTTGGGCTGGGTGGTCAGAGGACTGGTTAACTTGCCCCATGTTGCACCACCCCACCCCCCACACCCAGTGGGGAATGCTCTCTTCTGGACAAGAAAACTGGACAAACTGTTTCTGCATCTGGACATTGAGCTTTCAGGTTAGGTATTACATGTTCCTTACACATCCCTGTCCTGGATCGGCCCCAGGGGCACGTTTCTAGCGATCTCTGACTCCAGGTCTTTGCCAGATTCTTTTACAGGAGGCTTTGGAGTGCTCTGGACTCATAGTCTGGAGACCTGGATTGTTACAGTTTTGCCTCAGCCCATGTCAACAAGTCATTTAATCTCTCTGAACCTCAGTTTCCTGACTTGTAAAATGGGCATAAACTGCCCCTGCTGAGTCTTGGGAGGCTCCCACGAGATGGTAAGGTTTGTGGAAGTGCTGTTTTTCATCTTAACCTGCCAGAGCTCAGTGCAAGTTGGGGGCTGAAGCAATGTTCAGGACCGGGGTATGGAAGTCCTTGTACACCCCTCCCTCTGCGTGTGGCCAGTATCTTTGAAGACGCAGGGCATGACAGAGGCTGGTGGACTTGAGAGCTGTGGTTCCTTGTGGGGTTGAGGGTGGTGTCTGATTTGTGTGAGGAACGTTTTCAAGTTACATGACCTCCCCGCAACCCACCCAAAAACGAACAAATGAAGTTCCCATCCTGCTTTACAGGTCTAGATTTTGGCTCGGATTTGCCACTGACTTGTTCACTGATCCTGTGCAGCTTCCCCCCTGCAATCCCCTTGTTTCCTCATCTACCAAATAGTGTTAAGGACGCCTCAGATGCTCGTGTGCGTAAAGGGCCTGGCACATTCCTTACGCTTTTTCCCAAGTTGGTCCCTTCACTTAGATATTTTTTATCCTTTTTTTTTCCTTTGGTCAGTCTTCCATTTTTAGATTCTGATAAATATTAGAGCAGCCAAGGACCTTAAAAATGATTGTATTTTCATTTTACAGCTGAGGCGATGAAGTGACTACTATTGTTTTCAGCATCAAGAAACCCCTCACTGGTGGCCTTTCCCTGCCGCAGCCCCTCAGAGGAGGGGGTGATTTGCAGAATGTCAGGCGGTCCCCAGCCTGGATCAGGACAGCTGCCTTTCTGGGTAGGATGAGGGAGAGGGGAAACGGTCAGCAGAGCCATGGTGAATTGCATCTTTTAATCCCTCAGAAGCAGAGACAAAGCCCAGCTTCTGACAGTTACAGTGTTGACTTTCAGTGGGTCTGTAGGATGGTCTGGTGACACCTAAAGGTATCTGTTTGCTCCCAAGTAATCCCAGCTTTGGTTTTTCCTGTTTTCGTTTCCTTCATTTTCACTCAGATTCTGAAACTCCTCAAGTGGCATTCAGGGTTAAATTGAGCTCTTCTCACTATATTTAGGACAAACCAAGGAGTGGAACATCTGAGTTTTCCTACTTTTAGGGTTACCACTTAGCCAGAGAGGCCTTCACAGGTAAGGGTCTGTCAGTGTTGCTTCTTCGGGGGACATTTGCACCATTGTAGGCGACACCCAGGGGGAGAACTCTCTAATGGTTTTCAGGTTCTAGAGCTTTTCAGATTTCTAGAGCAGAGGTGGGGTAGGGAAGCCAGGGAAGGCCATTACTGATAATTCCTGAAGTTTTGCAGAGCTTCATGGGTTACCACGTGCTTTGGATCCTTTAATGTCCCCTTCCATCACACCATGAGCGAAAACTGCATCAGTTAGGGTCCAGATAGGACACAGAAACCACACCAGTCACTTGAACAGGAAAAATTTTGTATGAAGAATGATTAACCAGTAGGTGATTAAGAGCTACAAGAGAACTCTAAAGAATATAGGAGAAGCACATGTGGGGTGTAACTATTACCTCAAGGAGGGAATAAGCCTGGAAGAGCCCCTGACCTCCTTTGCGGACAACATTTCTTGTTGGCCACATAATCGGCGGGACTCAGTCTGTGATGGAAACGTGGAGCCCCTTACCCAGGTAGCAGGAAGAAGCACTGCTAGTTTTTCCTTCCACAGTCTCTCTCTCAACCACTCGTGGCATTTTTTATTTGCTACTTACTGTTGTGCTCTCTGGGGCACGGGAATATTCATGGGGTGAGTGCAAAATCTCACAGGTGCCCGGTGGCCCTGCCCCGGGATAAGCCCCGGTGCAGCTCATCGGCTGCCAACCCCCCCCACCCCCGCCAGCAGCTGGGCCCGGGACACCAGGTCCCAGCTGGTGGGGGGGAGCAGAGACAGGTGTCTCCCCTTCCCACGGGCCCGCTGCCCCACTTCACGGCGAGTGGGTGATTTCCGAGGGATTTCACCTGCACTGAGATGTGCTCAGTACCCAGGTCAGGGGTAGGTTGAGTCCCAAGATCAAACAGTAAGGGATAATTCCATGTTCAGACTCAGTCTCCTTCTTTCAAGCCGCGGTCTCATTAGTATGTAAGAAGCTGGCCCTGCCCACCCCACTGAGGCTCTCGTGCCGGTGGGAGCGTGACCCGGGGTGGCGTTCTCTTCCAGGGTTTCTCAGCCTCGGCATCAGTCACATTTCGGGTTGGATCGTTCTTTATTGTGAGGGACTGTCCTGTGGCCTCTGGCATGCTGAGCAGCGCCCCTGACTTCTGCCCATTAGGTGCTAGGAGCACCCCAACAGTTGTGCCCATCCAAATGTCTCCATTGTCACATGTCCCTGGGGGTCGGAATTGCCCTCCGGTTGAGAATTGCTCTGATTCAGCAGTCAGATCTTCTGACAGTTTTCTCTCCTCTTCATCCTCAGCTTTCCGCTTGGCCCTCATCCAGCTTCAGGTTTCTTCCATCAAATCAGACAACGTCACTCGAGCCTGTGGCCTCATCCGGGAGGCAGCAACACAAGGAGCCCAAATCGTTTCTCTGCCAGTAAGTATGGAGGCGGAGAGGGTCACCTCCTTCTGGGAGCTCTTGACCGACTAGAATACGGCCTGCATCCAGGGGTCCAGCGTATTCTGGGGAATGGGAGATTTCGCGGGATCAGCATGATAGTGCTGGAAGGGAGCTTAGAAACCGCTCATTTTACAGATGAGGAAACAGCTTCTGTGGCTTTTGAAGCTTCTGTATTTTTTTCAAGCACAGGCTTATTGCTTTCCATAGCTAAGGATATAATTTTGAGCCCGTGGATTCATTCTAACACCCACAGCCCTGTGCTTAAGCCAAGTTGTAGCGGGGCCTGGGTGCCCAAGGGTGGGAGCTCATAGTTCGCCTGCAGACAGTGAGGAAGAGGCCGATCTGCCAGGTTGACAAGGGTCTGAGAGAGCACACAGGACGTGTGTCGCCTCGCCCCACCTGCGCCAGCCCAGGTGTTCGCCTGTGGCCACAGGCTCTCTGGCTCTGGGTCCTATTGTTTTCCTTACCAGCTGTATTTTACCCCTTCGCGAGCAGAGCTTACGAGAGGCAGCTGTGCCTTCTTAAAGCAGAACTGTAAAATGGGTTGGATATTTTCGCGGGTTTTTTTCCCTTTTTCTCTGCCAACATTATTCTAGGAATGCTTTAATTCTCCATATGGCACGAAATATTTTCCTGAATACGCTGAGAAAATTCCTGGTGAATCCACACAGAAGCTTTCTGAAGTAGCAAAGGAGTGCAGCGTATATCTCATTGGAGGTAACGTCCTGCCCTCAAGGTGTAGTGGCCTAAACATTAAAAACATCTGAATACTTTCTGTTACATTTAAACCATGGAATACAAACCATGTAAATTAGGCATTGAAAAGAATGTGGTGAGGGCACCTGGGTGGCACCTTCCGATTAGGTCATGATCTCGGGGTCCAGGGATGGAGCCCCTTCATCAGGCTCTCTGCTCAGCGGGAGCCTGATTCTCCCTCTCCCTCTGTGCTCGCTCACTCGCTGTCTCTCAAATAAATACATAAATAAATCTTTAAACAACAAAAAGAAGAATGAGGTGGATGTTATGTAATAATGTGGAAAAGTGTTCAAGACACACTGTTACATGGAAGAAGCAAGTACAATACGACATGAACAGGTACTCCCATTCCGATTAATGCCTCACACAAAAGGTTATGTATTTTTTTTTTCTGTCTTTATATATGTAGCACATGGTAAATATTGTATAAGGACACACCAAACTGATTTTCCCTGGAGAAGCAATGGGAATACAGAGGCAGGTGGAAATGTGGAAAGAAAAACCGCATTGGAGTGTCTTTCATTATACTAATACAACATGAAGAAATTTGTTTTTTCACAAAGAGGCCATATACATCAAGGTAGCTTTATAAACGTGGTTTTGAAAGAAGTGTGATTTTGAAATGCATTTAAGATTTTAAAAAATTTTTTTAAAAGAATTTATTTATTTGAGAGCGAGTGAGAGTGAGCGTATAAGCGGGGTGAAGGGCAGAGGGAGAAGCAGACTCTCTGCTGAGCAGGGAGACCATTGCGGGGCTCGATCCCGGGACTCCGGGATCATGACCTGAGCCGAAGGCAGACGCTTAACCGACTGAGCCACCCAGGTGCCCCTTGAAATGCATTTTAAAATGCTCTATTTGCTTAAAGAAAAAATACAGTAAAACTGTTTAATATAGCAAAATTATTCTGTTATATTAAGAATTAGAAATGAATGAGAGGTGAAGAAAAGACAAAGCAAGAAAAGAGAGAAATGCAGGCACTACATTCAGTGGTGTCAGGACTGGCTTACATTCCCATCTTGAGGCCTTTTTGGATACAGTTATGTTGCAGGACCTGGTGAATTTAAGTTGAGCAACAGTGAATCCTCCATGTTGCTCTAGTGTTATAGATTAAGTGTAGCTCAAGATCAAAGCCGAATTCAGAAACAGTTTGGTTATTTTTGAGACCTGTCTTTGGCATCTGACTTAATTATATTTCATCTATACTCTGAAGTTTATCTCTGAAAGATCATCCTCAAGAAGACAAAAAGAACCATTAATAACCCTTAGAAGATAGTATACTTTATTCCTGGACCCAAGTGACAGTTTATCAAGTGTTTGTCCAGTGATCATAAAAGAATGCTTTATTCAGAATATTTTCTTTGCCTGTGTGTTTCTCCTCTCATGAAAGGTTCCATTCCTGAAGAGGATGCTGGGAAATTATATAACACCTGTGCCGTGTTTGGGCCTGATGGCACTTTACTGGTAAAGTACAGAAAGGTAAGCAGGGAATGTTGCAAGTCTCATCACCTCTTGAGAATTTGCTCTAATGTTCCATAGTCTCTCTCATCATATTGCACACACATGGGGCGTTAGATGAATTGGTATAGTCAACTTGTCGAATCTTGGCTGTTGACATTTTGATATAAATTTTAGACTTAGCCTGTCAATTTCAGCAAAGGAAAAGTCTACAGGAATTTTGATTAGAATTGCACTGAATATAGAGAGGTCACTTTGGGGAGAGTTGACATCTTTGCTGTAGTAAATGCATACATATTGAGAATTGTTAAATATTCCTGGTAAATTGGTCCTTTTGGCGGGCGCCTGGGTGGCTCAGTCGTTAAGCGTCTGCCTTCGGCTCAGGTCATGATCCCAGGGTCCTGGGATCGAGTCCCGCATCGG